CTTCAGTTGTCTGACAAAGAGATGAACAAAGTCTCACATCCCATTCAGCTATTCAACTAAAGCGTGCCCTGTTCGTGCCTTGTTTTATCCGCGCGCGTGCAAATGTTTTATCTGTTTTTATCTGTTGTCGAACTCGCTTGTCCATTTTTTTATAGAGAGGAATTGATCGAGAGTTCAATGCCCTCGCCAATACTAACAACAATAAGCGAACGACAATAATCTGAAAAATCTCACCTTCGTAAAGTTCCACCCACAGGCTAACAAAGCATTTCGTTCTTAACGTTTCGGAATGCTCGTAAAAGTAAACTAAAGACTAAAATTTTTTTCTTTTCTTTTCTTTTCTCGGGAGAATGAAGTTGCGCACACAAAAAAAGTCAAATAAATTTTCAGAAGGAGAAGTTTGTGGATTACAAAGATCGTCAAAACGTATTCTGGGCCGCTTGGGTGAGAATAAGTCGTTCAATCTTAGAAAAAGGTATAGATTACATTCAAAGATCGCACCTTTGAATGTAGGACGCGCAAATAATAAGCTTGTTTTAACAACGGTTTAAGAATGTTCTCTGTAAAGTATTTCTGACCATTTTGAGGTACTCGCATTATCTTTTCTCAGTCGCCTACGTCACCGAGTGTAAAAACATTAGAGAGTTTTAGATCCGAGTTTACCGCGAACCTCTAACCGCTGGAGGTCACGTGACAAGTCTTTCGCGTCACGTTTGAGGTTTACGACGTGCGTTTTCAACGTGGGGAGATAGGTTTTCACGTATGTCATTTACCTGAAAGCTTTTAGCGTATAATTCTTGTTTTATCCCACGTAATGATACAAAAATCTTGTGGAGCAAATCTTTATCCATTGACAGAGGTACAAATTCGGGCGAAATGCTAAATTTGATAAATCCTATTGGATCTTGAAAACAAGTGCCATTCATGGCTGCTTATTCAAAATGGCGGCCTTAAAATTGCAAGAACAACTAATGTAAGAATTTACAGCTCTTTGCTGCTAGATAACCCAGTGTTGCCGTAAATTTCTTATATTTTCACTGACTGATTTTTCTTCTATTTCTAAATGAGAAAATAAAGCAGAATTCACTTCCTTAATCCACCGCCAATCTAAATCGAATTATGTTTGAACGTCAAACCGCAAACGGGTAACCGCAAACCGCAGTTAGAGGTTCGCGGTAAACTCGGATCTAAAACTCTCTATTACTGACAACATAACGCGCGTGCTTGCCCTATATAAGTCCCATTGAGCCGCTATGAACAAAATCTTTATTTACGCACGCCCGTGCGTAAATAAAGATTTTTTTCATGATGACGTGTTCAGCTGTGTTTTTCGCCTCTTCATCCTAACTGCTTAGTACCCAAAAATCGACGGCAATGATGAAAAACTTTCTAGGATTTTTGGAATTTAGCTTCTAGCCACTCAAACCAACAGCAAAAGCGGTGAAGATGTTTCGCAAATAATTAGAGCCTGAATAGTTGAGAAGTGTGCCGTAAAGACTGACAATCAGCTGGAAAAAGACCACAAATTGGTCTGTGTCAGGAAATATCCAATTTATATAAAGTGTTTTTAACGTTTGTTTATCCTTTACAAAACAAGTTAATTATAAAGTAAGCTCAATAGCGAAAAGTTATGCATAACATAACATAACAAAAAACTTTATTTATTATTATTTATTATTTATTAAACTTTAGAGTAGCTAACAAGCTAATATCTTCGAGCTGACACTACATAAAAACTATATAGAAAATATATATATACATTAAATGCAAGGAAAGAAAATATCATTTACAATTCACAATTTTAAGTTTAAGTATGTCAAGCAAAAAGAATCTACATGAAGGTAACATCCTGTATTTTAGTCTGAAAGTCTGCAAAAAAACTGGTACGAAAAAAGTCCGGCAGTGCATTCCACTGCTTAGCTGAAAAGTAAGAAAAGGAGTTAAGACCATAGGTAGTTGTTTTAGGTTTACTTAGTGAAAGAATGTAGTTGCCACGAAGATCATAGGAAGAGGACCGGAGTGAAAACATATTCTTCATATAAGTAGGAAAATGAGTGAAAAACAAACTCTTATATAACAGAATGAGGAAATTTTGAATGCGTTTGTTAAACAAAGAAGTAGAGCTGACTTTTGAGAGAAGAGTGTTGTATGGAGACGAGTAATCTCCAAGTATAAATCTAAGTATTCTTTTATTTAAAGCTTCGAGCTTATCCGCATCGCGCGCTCCACAAAAGTGCCAGACAGAGGAGCAATAATAAAAGTGAGGTAAAATATACGCTTTGTAAAGTTTGAATAAGATTTCCTTGCGTATGAGTTTTCTAAAGTGCAACATAACATTAAATTGATTATTAATCTTTTTGCATACATTCGATATATGTTTAGAAAAATTCAGATTATTATCTATTTCCATTCCAAAAATCTCTAACGTGTCCTTTACTGGGAAGGAAAAACCATACTCCGTATCACCGAGGATTAGACACTGGTGCTTGCTCTCATTAACTAACATCCCATTTTCATGGTACCACTGATTGGCCACGCCAACATCATGAGATACGCATGCATCCAGAGCTGCCGGATCGACGTGGGAGTAGTATATCATCCGCATAAGCGTTCAACTTGGCCTTCTTGACGTGGAAGAAAAGATCGTTTATGAAAATGTTGAATAGCATGGGACCTAGCACACTCCCCTGCGGGAACCCACGCTTGACGCTTTCCCAGGTCGAAAAGGTGTCTCCAACTTTAACTCTCTGAGTTCTGCTAGAGAGATAGTTCCTAATTAGGGCACAACTTTTGTCGTCCATACCATAGGCCCTCAGTTTGGAAAGGAGGAGTGGATACTGAATAACATCAAACGCTTTGGAGAGATCCATAGAAACTACCGCAACAAGCTCCCCCCTATCACGCATCATTCTCCAGTCCTCCGTCAACCTTAGCAAAGAGGTCTCGCAACTATAAAACTTTCTATAAGCGCTTATGAAGTCTGATAAGAGCTCATTGTAAAATTCATACATCTGCCCCGATAGAAGCCTTTCAAAAATATTGTTTAGAGCAGGGAGCACAGTTACGGGCCTATAGTTGATCTTACAAAACTCGTCGTCTTTTTTGTACAGAGGAGTAACCATGCCCATCTTCCAGCTAGCAGGATAACAGCAATGTTCAATGCAACAGTTTATTATACTTGTTATAGGCCGCGCAATAACAGCTGCCGCTTCTTTAATCAGCTTTGGTGGGATCATATCGTGACGAGGTGACTTACGTACATTGATCTCTTTTAGTAATAGCTCAACCTGGGTTTCACTTGCGCGATGAAAACTGAAGCAAGCTGGAGCACTAGAGCCCCTGTGTTCATGGATTGCTTTGATGCTGGGATGATTTGCATAATCCTCACCGTAATCCTCTGCTCGTATTTCAGGCATGCTGTCAGCAATGTGAACAAAGTAGTCATTAAGCAGATTGGCAATCTCCTTTTTGTCACTAATAATCCTGTCATTTTCTTTCAAGATAATGTCATTGGCTTGCTTACTTTTAGTATGCAAAAAGGGGCGGAAAGTAGACCAGAATTCGCGCGGGTGTTCGGTGTCTGCTGTTTTCCTCGCGAAGTGTTGTTTTATGGCTTTTCGCCTAAGAGAGGTGCAGGTATTACGTTGAGTTTTGTATGCCTCGTAATTTGCATCAGTACGATTGCGCGTGAATTTTTTCCACAGTTTGTTGCGATGCCTGATCGCCCTCCTCCATTGTTCCGTCATATAAGGCACCTGATTACCACGTATCATCGTTTGCTTGATAGGTGCGTGTTCATTGAGAACACTTAGAAACAATTGCTCAAAAGCATAAAGCTTATCATCAAGTTCATCAAACAAATCAATTATGTGGAAAGGCACAATTTGCATATCATGCACAAAGTTCTCTCGACTGAAGTTTTTCAGACTACGAAAACAAATCTTGCGAGATCGATTCCTTGGTGCTGATGATCGCAGGATAGTATAAACTAACGAATGATCACTATGTTGCGTGTCTACCACGCCTGATGTTAGGACCTTTTTCTTGTCATTCGTCAGGATTAAGTCCAGCAGTGTTTCAGTTGTTTTTGTTCTGCGAGTTAGTTCCGTAATCAAACAATCAAGATTAAAAATATCTAGCAGATCTAGTAGAGCCCGACCGTCTCTGTATTGTTTATCAGGAGCAACTTTTGTTATTGCCGAACAATCCGACTGAAGCAGGAAAATTAAATTACTCTAGCAATAACAATATTTATTACATCCATTTGGAAATCACAGGTGATCCTTGCAATCTGATTGGCTCAGAGCGATGTGATTTATTTACGAATCGCACTATTTTGTGCTCTAAATCGCATCTTTTTTTCAACCAGAGAAAGAGAAAGAGAAAGTAGCACTTAAACAAAACAACCAATCAGATTTCAAGGATCATTCACAGTAACCAATCAAATTGCAGGAAAACAAAAAACAAATAAAGGCAATATTGTGTGGCAAACTTTGTGCAGGTTTTTTGTTGCCAAAACTTTCTTTTTACAAAGGCAAAAATGGACGAATTTAATTACTTACAGTTTCTTAATGATGATAATGAGCTCCTTGAGGCTGAAGAAGTTCTTTTAGGGGAGTTTCCGACATTCAGTGTCCAGTTTGACGAATATTTTGATAATTTTTCCTCCACATCCGCTCCGGATGCGTGCGATCCCGAGTCCAGCAACAAAGAGACAAATCCAGAGTCAACTCAGAAAGTACAAAATGTAGATTCTACCAGGTTCCCTGAAATCTCAAGCGAAGAAATTGAAGAGCTCAAGGCTGTTGCCGTCAACAAAAATACCTCCCGCTCGACAAACAGTGGATGAATGTATTCAAAAGTTGGTGCCAGTCTCGTCATCTAGAAAATGTAAACATAGAAACAATGGCGCCGGAAGAGCTCGACAACATCCTGAGCAAGTTCTACGCCGAAGTAAAAAAAGGGACGGAGATGATTACCAGCCGGAATGCCTTAAAATCATGCACAGTGCCATTGAAAGGTATTTAAAGGAGAAGAATTATCCACTGAGCATCGTACGATCGAGGGAGTTTCACAATTCACAAGAAATCCTCCACGCGAAGGCAATTTCTCTGCGACAACAACGAAAGGGCAAAAGACCAAACAAATCTCAGCCTCTCACTTCGGAGGAAGAGTCTTCCCTCTGGCTAAAAGGTCAGCTTCGTGATTTTAGCGGAAAAGTGTTGACCAATGTGAACTTCAAAAACTTGACTGAGCAACTTGGATTTAGGGGTCGCCAGGAGCACTATGACGCCTACGTAGAGGACTTCGTTATAAGACAACAAGAAGACGGCAGCGAAGTTGTAGAATTCCTTGAAGGTCCCACTAAAACACGAAGCGGTGATCTAACAATATCGAGAAGAACAACACCACAAGTTATGTATTCCACCGATGGCGGAAAAACTGATCCAGTGCGCCTTTTCAAGCTTTGGTTATCCAAGCGACCCGACGGAATGAAAGATAAAGGGCCACTGTACCTGAGCGTTATAAATCGTCCCAAATCAAATGATATCTGGTACACCAAAATTAGAATGGGCGAAAATACCATCGGCAACATCATGAAATCCATGGCCTCCTGTCTTAAGACGAACAAAAAACTGACCAACCACAGCATGAGAAAAACGTTGGTGTCCAAATTGAAAAAGTCTGGTCAGCCGCGCAACGTTATTTGTGAAATAACAGGCCACGCACGTGAATCTTCGTTGGACGACTACGACGAAATAGACGAGAATCAACGGAAAGAACTGTCTCACATAATTAGCGGCTTTAAAGAAGTGCCAAATGAAAACGGTCCCAACGACGTTTCCAATCAAAACAGTACAGCTGCAAAGGCACCAACAATTCAAAACACAGTCCAAAAGCCAGTCCTACACCAACGAGCACCACTTGTTCCTATTAATCGCGCTCAGCAGCAAGGTCAAATGCATCAGGCCATGGAATTCCTGAATCCTGATTTTCAGGCTGCTGGTTTTGCAGGATTTCCGCCAAGTTGTCCCTCACAGTTTCAGTACCGCATGGCAGCGTTGACGTGTGCTGGTAATCCTGCTGCTTCATCGCAGAATTACACCGGCTGTACTTTCAATTTTTTCTCCCAAGAAAACGCGATGCCTCAGCCACAACCGCAGAAGAAGCGAAGGGCTTACATTATTGAGTCAGACGACGAGGATTAAACTTTGAAGAAGACTATTTTTGCAGTGACAAGATTTTAGAACTGCTTGAATGAAGTTTTTGCGCTCCAATGGGTTTTTTGTAAAGTGACATCTGTCATTTTGTTTTGTTGACATGCACGTACATGTAAAAGTGTTTCCGGTTCCGCTTTTTACGAACCAGCATTTTGGACCAATAAATACAGATTAAAAAAAAAGAGTGATTTCAAAATGGATGTAATAAAGTGGTAATTGAACTTCGTGTCGTGCAATTTTGGTCTGAAATCATACTTGTGATTTCAAATTTAACTCGCGCTGCGCGCTCGTTCGATTTCGAAATCACGCGTATGATTTCAGACCAAATTGCACTCCACTCAGTTCAATTACCATTATAAATTACACCGCAAGAAGACACAAATTTATTACTCACAAAAACAACCTGCTGCCAGGTCTTCTCAAGAAGCCGTGATGACCAGCCATTGTTCGTAAATGAATATAAAGGAGAAACGTCAACCTCTGGGAAATTCAAAAGGCAACATTAGTGGGAACGGCACATATTCTACGGAAGTTCCTATCCGTCAATACTCTGCTACACAGCCGTTTTTAGTGTCGTTACGCCACGCTCGTCCCCACAGGACTGGGGGAGGGGAGGAGCGTTGCGTGACGACACTAAATACGGCTGTGTAGCAGACTAGCTCGGCCCTTGGAGAAGAAATACGGTCTTATGAACTGAACACTTATACATGTATTAACAATAATAATTGAAGCTCCTCGAGCAGTGTCTTCGCTCAGGAGCTGGAATAACTGAATGGTCGAAAGAAGAGCTCCGTCAAATAGATGGGAAAACACGTAAATTGTTGACAATTTATCGAGCACTGGATCCATAGGTTGATATCGAAAGACTATACCTTAGAAGATCACTAAGGTGGAAGGGGACTGATCGGCGTGGAAGAGTGTGTAATGCTAGAGATTAACAGCCCTTGGAATTACATCAGCAGAGCTAGTGAAATTGCACTACGTGCAGTATATCAAGAACAGATTCTGATCGACATTGGAAAAGATAAGAAGGCACTTAACTAAAAAAAAAAAAGAGATGGAGGGTTTATTAACTGCTGCTCAGGACCGGGCACTGAGAAGTGGCGAATAGCATAAGATTCAGAGTTGATAAACAGGAGCTGTCGCCTGCATGTAGAATGTGTAGAGTGAGAAAGGAAACGGTTGCACATGTGGTGGCAGAATGGTGAAGCTCGTGCAAAAGCATTACAGGAACTGTAGACACGACAAAGTTGCTTAAGTGATAGACGCTATAGTCCTCGAGAGAGGCAAAACATAGTATGATCATACACCTAAGTTTGTTCTTGAGTCGGAGAACACAAAGATCTTGTGGTACTTTAAAGTTCAAACAGATTTGGCGGTGGAGGCAAACAAGCCTGACACTGTAGTGATGGACAAGAAAGAAGGAAAATGTCTCATAATTCGCCAACCTGTCAACACACGTGATTTGTGGGACTCAACTAACAGTAGTAAAGCTGAAACTTCGTCATATCAAAGAAGACTAATTAAAAATCATTGGAGGTATCCAATTATGCTTTACTTTATCTAACTACGAAATATTTACATCTGGTTCTGAAAAGTCGCGGACCAAGGACCTCGCGGTCAGAGCGTAACATAAACTGTATTTACTTCGACTTAAATTAGCTAATTGCGAATTAAGACGACAACAACAACATGTATAGTTACAAAGACAGCTTAGCCCGCAAATAGCACAAGCTAATCGAGGCGGGCTAAGAAGTGAACATTAAAAATGGTATACTAATAAAAGTAGTAACGAAAACTTACGATGATAATAACATAAGGACGATTTATGAATAGACGTCACGTGTGACGAACTTGAGACGAACAGGATGTCATTTCAACACATACGAAATGAACGTTATTAATGAAGGACGGTGGCGATGAGAAAGGATAAGATCAGCATCTTTCTTGTCCTTGTTGAATTTCAAGTTACATTTGTATTACACAACATCCGGGAGATGTCATATCAAGAGAAGAACTTTTAAAAGTAATGCTGAGTTGCATGTCGTCAGCGGAAATTCTTACCACAAGACCGATCAATTACGTCACCCAGTGGAGAAGGAAGGAAATTACTTTCATTGATGACTTCCCGGTTGGTACAGGTAGTAATGCCATGGATTCTCCAGTCCTGCAATACTGTTGCGGAAGAGAATGATACATTTCCAGCACCTTTCAGGCAGTTTCTGTTTTCACCTTGGTGTTGGAAATATTTTTGAATTGCTATTGTGATGAGGAGATGTCCAGCTATTGTAAGAACATTACTAGAGCGTAGTACGGAACGCATAATATGTTCTAAAACTGATATTATACTTGTATTTACTTTTTATACAGTATGTAAATAATTATATCATATTAATTTCGATAATTGCCTTTTTCATTTCTTCGGGTTTTTCACCCAGAGTGCTTGTTATACAGCAGTACGTCAAAGATATGTTAGGAAAGTGTAGAAATAGTCTATGCTAAACATTTTGTATATACTCATATCACGCTAAAAAATGTCAATGCTTCTTTGTATCTTAATACTTTTCTTCTTTCCTGATAAAAGTAGACGTCACAAATTATGTGTAATACAACCAGTTCATTTAGTATTTAATTCTTCACTCCCTTGAAAGTATCTCTCTTCACATGTTCATATTTTAAAATTCTGTTCTCTGTTCTACAGTTGAAAAATTCATCGCCATCAATTCGCGCAAAATTTCGATGATTATATTCAATCTACACACTCGATCCGCTCCACGACTCCGAACGACTACACAGACTTTAGTACAAAGTTCAGTTATCAGATCATGTGTCGAGTTTTCCTGCCACAATGACGCAATAAGTTTATCACAGTAGCAGGGCTCGAAATTAAAAAAAATCGTCAGGTCACCTTTTGGCGACCAACTAGAGAAATATAGTCGCCAGATGCAAAGTTTTAGTCGCCAGTTTGTATAATGTAAATTGCGCAGCTCATAGTCAGGGCCTCTGATATTTCGCGCCGTCGCAGAGCCGCGCGAGTGCTCCGCTACAAAATCTTGCCAACAAGTCTGGGGACGTGTAAACCAACCTTTTATACTTTTTACACTTCACATCTGAGGTGAAACAGTACCATGAGGCGCTGTTTTTATCATACAGACCTCGGACAGAATGCAGTATTTCACAATTTTGCAATCACTCAATGTTCAGGACGATCGAAGCACGCGTGGGGCTTTTAGCGAAACCGTTAAAAAAATTCCAAAATCACCTGTACGGCTAGCCGGTTCTCACTTTTGGCAAGCGCCAAAGTCGCCTGTTTAAATTATGATTAGTAGAGTTATACGCTTCAACATCATAAAGAATTTATTATGTTTATTTTTAATTTAATGGTTTTTAACGATGTGTAATCTTCAAAAGCGTTTGATACGCCCGGCATTTGACTACTCCTGCATGCAAGCGATGTTCATGAGCGACTGAAAACAAACGGCACAGCGATTAAAATTGCAAAAAAACTACTAACAATCAATAAAAGGAAAATAATTCGGTGAAACATATACAGAGACAACAATTTTCATTCACGAAGACAAGTATTTAAGTGTCTCTGAAAATCCTTGTCTATGTTTTACATTTTGTAAGCCGGCTTCCCGTTGTTTGCTTTTTTCAAAGAAGAACTCGAGGCAAGAAAATCGCTCAAAGCTTTCTTTTACAGCCAGAATTATAACTAAATATTCTTTGGAACGTTTTCTTTGTATTTGCAGTGAGAAAATGTCTAAAGGCTTTTTAAAGTTCTATAAGCTTATAATCAAACTTGATACTTGGTCAGATCATTGTCTCAAATATTACAAACGTGCATAAACTAAATAGCCGCATAAACTACGCTCGACTTCATTAAGTTAGTATGTGTAATCAAATGGTGACGAGTGAAATTAGGGAATAATTTCACGCGCGTTTTTTCCAAATCCTTATAATTTCCCGAGCCTTTTTTTGACCTGACAAAGTAAACAACTTTCAAGATGCTGCATAAATTCTCCGCATGAACTCACCTGTCAAATTTTGACCAAATTAGTGTTTTCACTCAAACAACCAGTAACTATGCTATTTTACTGGAAAGAAGAAAAGGAGAGTTTAACTGCTAAAGAATTTGTTCGGTTTTCGCTGTTTTGAAACACCAAAATGGCTGTCGTGACATCGTATGAAGGCTTAATATCTCTTTGGTCCTTCTCTTCTCCTAGCAACTAAGTGTGCCCAAGAGTGGGTCGTTGAACATATAGGAAAGATAAAAACAAAGCAATGTACAGGTATTTATGATTTTCAGACAAAAATATCATGCCTGTTCCTTTCTTTTAGACTCTCCACAAGTTACCGAGAGAAATAAGACCTACCTAGTTTCCCCAGGAGACTCTGTCACTCTCACCTGCCCTGTTGATGGAAACCCTCCACCTTCCGTCCAATGGTACAAAGGAAATGACAACATTTGTCAACCTCTACATACAGGAAAAGCATGGGAACTTAGTCAGGCCACCTCAAGTGATAGGGGGTTGTATACCTGTTCTGCGAGTAATTCTGTCGGGACCGTTACAGCCACTGTGATACTCGAAGTTGGTGAGTAGCATGCTCGGGTAGGGTGGTGAGGGTACTCAAGGGAAGTTTGGGTAGAGGTGTGTAAATTGTCGGCACCACACATGTAGATCTCCACACTTCTTTAAAAAGGCCTCCGGTTGAAAATGATACCCTGTTCAAAAAGCTTAATTGTGCAAATAAAGCGGCACATACCAGTTTAGACCAAATATGTAAGGGAGTGCACTCCGGATGACATGAGAAGTTGAGAAATATCTTAACTTTCCAGGCTTGTTTACGCCTTCAATGCTAGATTTAGGACAGTAGCATGCGCAGGTACACTTTTTGTTAACAAGAAG